GATTATATCCTATTCTGATACCTTATAAACAGGTTCACGTGAGTAAAGCCACGGGAATCAACTACTACATAATTAGATCAACGCATACAGTCTATTGCGCTTTGCATATTACGTAGGTACGTTTAAAATTATTATGAAATTTAGTTTGTGTATTTTTCAAATAAATTAATCCACCATGATGTTATTTTACTACTTAAATAAATATTTTTCATTGAGTATACCTATTATTACGCGATTGACGAATAACAACAATATTATTCAGACATATCTATGTATGTATATGTATGTATGTATATTTATGTATGTATGATGTATATGTTTGTCTAGATCTTTGGTATAATGGATAAACAAGTTGCGGACTTTTTATAAATATTATCGGTTTTATACTATGTTTACAATTTCTTAGTTTCTCTAATATTATTAATGTGACATTGTGTTTGTTTGTTTGTTACCTCACGGGGTCTTAATGGCTCAACCAGTTATCGTGATATTTATCATAGTATACAAGTATCTTGTATTTAGGACGGAGAAAACGTAATTAACTTAATATCACGGGAAATCAAAATGTTCTCGGTTACGAACGAAGTCGCAGGTAAAAACTAGTATGTACAAATGTATGAATACATATGTCAGAATTTAGCGCAGTATACAGCCTAAATTCCTTAACGCTGTGTCGCCAGACTCAATTGTGATAATGTTATAGAGGCTTTATGACGAAAGCAAAAAATAGATATGACCGATGTAAATTACCATGCAAAACTTATTTTACCGTCTAGTATTTTGTGAATCGTCACATCCACTTGTTACTGTCGTTTCTTTCTCGGTTTTCAATTTAGATTAACGTATCAGCATATCCTTTACTGAGAATTATTAATGTAGGAATTTGACAGTTTATCATACTCGTATTTCAAATGTAACGAAATCCAAATAATTATTTCCTCAAATCGATTTAAAAAATCAAATTAAAATCAAATTGAATTTAATACAATGCACAGAGTGCATTCATTGTAGAATGGTTTGGATGACAAGTACCTTTTTAACAGTTAATATAATTAACTACCTATAAATGATACTTTCTCATAATCAATTAGTTGGATTGAGAGCACGTATGCTGAAGTTAGGGTTGCCAACTTGTTTTTACTAGAAATAAAATATATTTAGATCTGAGAAGAATTTTAAACAGTATTTTATAAAAATGCACAGTGTTTTTATTACTTAATGTTTTAAATACATATTTTTAGAACTTCTCGTATAAATTATTAATTTACAGTCTTTTTTAAAAACTTCATATACCTCACCAGAGTTATTACTAAAATTAAAATAAACGAGGAGCTTATTGTTTATTAATTCAATTTGCACTGAGCGCCCTCTGACTGAATACAAAAAAATATGTGAGCGTCTAAGTTAAGTACTTATTACACAACATTTTGAATACAGTATTTTTGTTCAACAGTAAAAATTATAATATAGTGAAAAACAACAAGTTGGCAACCCTAGTTGAAGTGTATGTACGTGTATTGGCTATCAATTAAACAATACTCCATATTCCTCTTATTTTAATATTTAAAACTAGCGGCCCGTCCCGGCTTTGCACGGGTGGACATTTTTACATTAAAAAGTGGCCATTAAGGCTACACACCCGATGGAAGTTTAAAAATGGAGTAACTCCTCTCGTTTTCCCAACATTTCCCATCACTGGTCTGCTCCTATTGATTGTACTCGTAGCGTGATGAAAAATATACTATAACCTGCCCAGGAGTATGAAGAATAATTGTACCAAGTTTCATTAGAATCCGTCGAGTAGTTTTATGTTTCTATAACGAACATACAGACAGACAGACAAAAATTTTACTGATTGCATTTTTGGCATCAGTATCGATCACTAATCACCCGCTGATAGTTATTTTGGAAATATATTTCATGTACAGAATTGACTTCTTTACAGAGTATAGATTGTTTTCTACAAACATTGTGTTATAAAAAAACCGACAAAAGTTGTTGTAAAACCAATTATTTTGATTTCAAAACTAAACTAATGAAGAGATTTTTATCAAATTTCTATAGGATCGATCTGCAAGTATATACTTTCAGATAAAAGAATAGTTTTTCTAATCGATTTATAACTAACGGAGAGGTAATAAACATAAAGAAAAATATAATCAAATTGAGAATCTTCTTATTTTTGAAAATGGTTAAAAATTTCCAAATGGCTGTTTTCAAATTAGTGACTTATCACTCGTACCATGCTATAACGTACGAAGTATACTCGTAGGTAAGTATAATTTTTTTTTATACAACTTAGAATGGCAAACAAGCTGACGGCCGACCTGATGTAAAGTGGTAACCGTCGCCTATAGACATGAGCAGTACCATGGACATAACAGAGTATACTGTTTCACCCATGATATCCCCCATGCGTTGCCATTCCTGAGGACTTAGGTGTTATTCCTCTGTACCCAGTAAATTCACGCCATATCCCACCCTTCAAACCGAAACACAGCCATGCAAACACAACTGCTTCACGGTTGAAACACGAATGGGACAGAGGTACCCAAGCAATCGACTTTTGTACAAAGTCTCCCTCTGGTAAAATACTTGGGAGTATTGCAATTGTGGGCAAATAACCATCAATTGATAATGAACATTTCATGTATTGACATGAATCACTATTACCTACCAATGAACATATATTACGCAAGTTTCATTCACATTGGTTTTATGACTAATTTTCCCCTAACATTTACAATTTTAATTTCGAAAATCATGACAATAACCAACTAGAGTTTGGTTATTGTAGTTAACCATTACTTAAACCAACTTAATACTTTAATATTTAATGTTTTTATATTTACTTATAAACTCATTTGCTTTGCAAATCGTAGTACCAACAAAAGCAGACCAGTTTCTGTTTACTTTGTTAACAAATTGTATTTTAATTAACTTGATTTTTCAATATATTCATTTTATTTGATAATTTGTATTCAGATAAATATAGGCGAGGAATAGGCAGCAGCGTCCCTCTTAAAACATCTCTAAAGCCTGACTGCGGTTGCCAATTCGCTTGCCAAGCGTGGCAACTACTGGCAAAACCTCCCAAGGGGGAGGCTTATGTTCAGCAGTGGACAGTTAAAGGCTGATATGATGATGATGATGATCTAAATGAAATCCTTAATCATTTAATCATTAAAATAAAAATAGTCGATTTTTTTCGACTGAAACTACTTTCTGGAATGGGAGGTAGGTAGTCAAAGCCTCCTTTACTTACATGTCAAGTCAGTATGGGAGACAGTTTTTGTTTTTTTTTTTTTCATTTATATTTGTATGGAAAAAATGTACAGTTTATTATTAGAATTCATACTTTAAAAGGATACTAAAAATTTTTATTTCACATTCTATAAGTAGGTATTTTGCTTTGTAATTCCACTTTGGGTTTGCTGAATGTAGTTAAGCGTGCCTTTGTACATTTTGTCTTCCACTGTTTCTTTATGTATTATTTGTATCACGAATAAAGTATATATGAATAATTTTGAGTATTCATAATAATTGGGAGACTTTGTACAAAAGCCAATTGCTTGGGTACCTCTGTCCCATTCGTGTTTCAACCGTGAAGCAGTTGTGTTTGCATGGCTGTGTTTCGGTTTGAAGGGTGGGATATGGCGTGAATTTACAGGGTACAGAGGAATAACATCTGAGTCCTCAGGAATGGCAACGCATGGGTGGGTGTCATGGGCGAAACAGTATACTCTGTTATGTCCATGGTACTGCTCATGTCTATAAGCGACGGTTACCACTTTCTATCAGGTGGGCCGTCAGCTTGTTTGCCATTCTAAGTTGTATAAAAAAAAATTGTTTTACAATTAATAGATATTAAAATATTTTTTTTTTTTTTATATTTTTGATTCTATTCGTTTTTAATAAGTAAAAAGTTGTGACGCTTGAAAACAACGTGCAGTTCTCGGCTCAGATTACTTTCGACGAACAAATAAACTGACTTGTCATTAGCGTCCATAAAGGTCTTATTCGAAAAACATTTTTGTTGAGTTTTCGTTCGTAGACAATCTATTAATGATGTTTGCTTAAACGTAACTCAAGCTTTGTGGGTGTTATTTCTTTTATTGTAAACGTTAAAGGACTTTATAGGAAAGTAGTAACCGTAATCTATAGACATGAGCAGTACCATGGCTATAACAGAGTATACTGTTTCGCCCATGATATCCCCCATGCGTTACCATTCCTGAGGACTCAGGTGTTATTTGTCTGTACGCTGTAAATTGACTGCCATATCTCACCCTTCAAATTGAAACACAGCCATGCAAACAACTGTTTCACGGTAGAAAGACGAATGGGATAGAGGTACCCAAGCAAACGACTTTTGTACAAAGTCTCCCTCTGGTAAAGGATAAAGTACAAAGAAAACTTTTAAAACTGGTTCAATCCTTATTCATTAATGTTTAACTATTATTGTAGTTATATTTATTGCTACAGAAATGAAAGAGTTCATATGCAGATCCAATAATCTGATAATGGTTTTCCTTTTGTCTTAAGTAATCAACTATCGACACGAATTGTAGGAAATTGACTTTTATTATTATAAGTAATAAGATTTATAATTGATTCATATTTATCTTTAGTACTATAACAAGTATGTACCTAATTGACTTTCCAGTATCCGATATCTTTTATCAAGTGTTTTTTCTTTTAAAATCCACTTCAAAAACAAAGGTTTTCAATTTGAATGTATTTTTTTTTTATGTTTCTTACCTCATAACTTTGTCAAATGTGAACTTATTTGAAAAATTCTTTTTTATCTGAAGGGATATACTTACAGATTGTTCTTACAGATATTTTATCAAAATCGGTTCAGTAATTTAGTTTTTAAAGCAAAATTTTTGGTTTTGCCACAATTGAAGTCGGTTTTTTGGGAAGCACAATTCTATAATCTATTATAATGTGTTGAGTATGTAGGAGGCTAAGTGTAATGCAATAACTAAAACTAGAGGTTCGGTCTCAAATTATTTATTTTCTAAAAAATCTCACATCCCCACACATAGGGAAAATATGGAAGCCACGTTTATATAATTAAAATATTTGCGATGATAATGTTTTGGTCACTCATACGCTTTATACAAAACAACCTATTATGTTACAACTTCAACGTGGCTTAAAATAATTATGGTACAATGAATTAAATGACTTACAGAATACATATGTGCGTCTTTACGTAATAAATTTGTAAAATACATTTCGTACAGATCGTAATCATGGGGCTGATTGCAGAGGGCGTATTTTGAATGTGGTTGCGCGTTTCACCAATGCGAGTACATAGCGTCGTAGAGGTCCAAATAAGGAGTCGTTGCATTTGTATCGATACAAACGCGCGTACAAAGTGATATAAATGAGCGCAGGAAGCGTGTTCGAAGCCTGTCGGTATTGAGGTTTCTGTATACATACGAGCGAATATAGCATGTTTATATCGCGCTTTACGTGCGTTTTTATCGATAAAAACACGCATTTATAATTGGTGAAGGTGTAAAAATGGTTGGTTGTCAATGAATCTCATTTAAGTGTGTCATCCGTGCGTATAAAAAGCGCCATCTGCAAAGGCCCTCAGTACTGAAAATTTAGCATGGCGCGTCTTCATGCAATATGTTCGAATCAACTAAGTTTCTTGATGTGAATCCACAGCCCCCAAATAAGGGTGGCCGGCTGAGTGTACAAGCGCTTAATTTTACTCGTAAATTTACAATATAATGATTTAATCAACATTACATACAAACGCAAATAATATAAAAACAATAACCGTCTACGGACTGTTAGAGTAATTTCTAAATGCAATCTACAGCCGTTGGTACGACTATAAAAACCGGTTAATCCGTATAAAATGGCCAATAGTAAAGGAAAATTTATTTTTCGGAGCTTCTTTTTTTAAATACATAGCGATCCAAACAAGGTTGGGGAAACTAGCACAAATACGACACACAGGCTAGGCTAATATCACAGGAGTGCTGGGAACGGCGCGGAGTCCCATACCCCACTCGCGCCCGTCGCCGCCATCTGCCCCCCCTGCCCTTCCACCGCCCCTAACCCCGCCGATTCCCCGCTCTCTTCCTCTTACCTATTTACTATTCAGAGGGGGCGCAACGGGCTACTACCAATATATTTTGCGACAATTAAGATTTCAAAAGAAAAGGAACTTGGCGCTATTCGTTCCAATTGCACAATATTGATTACAGTCATTGCACACTGAACATTTGATCTCAAACGCCAATAATATTTGGCAAACAGTTGGTAACAAATGGTATAAATTATATAAAATTCATGATATAAAATAAATAGCGACATGTTATTTCAATACATTCACATTAACTGAAGGTTAAAATGACGTCTGAAGGTAACTTTTAAAAACAAATTAAATAAAAACTATTAAAATAATATCCCCACATATTCCATTTAATACTCAGGCTTAATAAAAATGCAACATTTGTGTCAAACATTTGCAAATTAGTGCCATACTTCCCATATACATATACTTGCCTAATAGGTACATAATTTATTTGCATTACTTATAGCACACAAATAAGAGCAGACATAGATGAAGAAAAAAAGAGACAGATAAAAAGAGACAGAAAAAAAGAACATGTATAAATAAAGTAACATAATTTTTCCTTTTGTGCGTGTGCTATAGTAACACAAAATATTTACAACTCAGTTTATTGGTTTATTGCTTTCTTCCCAAAAGGGCAAAACTGATATTCTGTTGTGGCTAAAATCCAGCCGCGAAATAACTTAGCAAAAAATAAATTAATAAAATAAGGACAATGCCCAAATATGCCCACCTTTTAAATTACGTATGAGTACGACATTAAAAACATAGATCCTGATTTATTTACTAATTAAGCTATGTCAGCACATAGAAAATCTATTTAATATACCCATTTTTATTGTAAAATTATAAAAATCTTTGTAAGAGGATAAAGGTCAATACAAAAATGGGCATTCTCCTTTCCAAATTCGAAATGTAATGTAGGTTCAATGTAAAATGTTTCACTACGGTTGTCGTTTCATTTTCAAACACCTACTTATGCTACATCAGTGACATCGGCGTCTACTCACAAAACCGGTTTACAGTAGCGACCCAATCTTACAAAAGGCTATACAAAACAATATTATTCACATAAAAACAAAGAGTAAATGTTTGACAAGAATCGTGATGGAGTATACGCAACCGTTCCCAGTCGTTTTGCACTATCTCTTAACTCGCTATTTATATATCGTACAATATTATAACATAATAATTATGCCTTAAAACTATATCATCAATAAAAACCATAAACATCCATAAAGGTATCTGTTACAGCACGAACAGCGAGGCGATGCTGCGTGCTAAACAAAACGCACATAAGTCCTCGGTTCGATAGTTAAATTAATCGTTGAACACTAATTGGACCGCGCCCGTCGGCAGCGCCTGAGCAACTTTCACTAAATAATAAAAAAAAAACACTAACAAAGTAAGTACACTTCTAAAACAACAATGAATTGGCTAAAGTCTGTCCGTTTTGGGTAACGTAAATTAAAACACCCGACCGGTATCCGAGACGACCATAGTCTCGATCCTGCGACGAAATTGGAGCACATTTCCAAGCGCGATGTACGCTGTGGTCGTGACGCAGTGCCTGCGCGCGGTCAGCGACACGAGCGCTTCGGAACTCCCAAGAGCTTCACTCAACGTGCTCCCATCACAGTGGAGTATGTAAATGCGCGGCACGGCGCGGTCATGAGTCCAGAACTGTGAGTAGGCTGCTCGGCAACAGAGGTACGTCTTGTCTGGGCATCTGTCTGGCTAGCTGCGCACACCCGAGATTGGCGTCACCTAACTCCGGTATAGCATCGAGTAGCGCGAGGCATTCATCCTCAACAGCGCGCCTACTCTTTTTGCCAATCCAGGAGTCGTCGCATTCCTCTCTCGCGCGCCTCCGCCTGGCCTCCTTCTCTCTGCGCACCTCTTCGCTAAGCCGACAATAAGTGTTGTTGATGCATACGGAACGGCGTAGATCACGAGCTGGATCTTCAATATTTTCGAGTTTTTGCGAACAAATCTCTATGACCCGTTTACGCTCCTCATTAGCGCGGAGGCGTGCTGAGATCATGGAAAGCTTAGGCCGGGCGGCGGCTGGTTCGGTGCGTGGTGGGCCGAACATGTCGTCCTCGAAGGCATCAGCAATCTCCGCTCCCCCTGCGCTTTCTCGCTCCTCCTGCGGCGTCATTCTGTAACAAATAAACAAAAATATTAGCAACTTCTTGTTTACAGCTCCAAGTACTAGTTCTAAAAATTAAAATAATTTTAACATAAATACTTTGGATAAATTTAGATTAATAATCATATTGAAATGTAAATATTAGTTACTTGAACATTAGTTTTATTTAAAAGTAAAGTATCACGCACAATTACGGATTCAAATTGAAGTAAATATATGCTTGGACAATATACACAATAAATAATACCTATTAAAAAAAAAAACAAAAAAAAAAATAACACATGTTATAAATAATCAAGACAAAGTGAAACTAATTATTATACAATTGCCAGTACTAGGTCAATCAGAGAACAATGCTTATACGCTTGAACAGGCTAATCAAGTTCACAAGTTACCATCCGTTATTCTCTTTGCAATTGCTAATACAGAATAATGATCACAACTGAAAAGCTGATTTGAAAGTAAATAATAAATTTAAGTATACTATTCTTATCATTTTATAAATTTAGACGCACCTGGAGGACACTTCAGGGGAAATAATGTACCATCCGGACATAAACATATTAAATATTTATAAATAACTTATTTTTGCAATAAAATGGCCACTTCAATATCACAAAGTTCAAAACACTGATGAAAAACAACGAATGCACAATTAGTCACTGCGTCCTCGTCTACAAGAAGTGTGTAGGAACAAGTGAAACAGAAACGGCGCGTTTCACGGGCGGCGTGTGCGCAGCGCGACGATCACTCGACGAATGACAACATACCTCACTGTAGATAAGACATTGAAAAAGCCAATTGCGTCATTCGAGTACGGCTACGTACGTGTAGAGAGGAAACGGGTGACGTAGCCGAAGTCGTCAGTCTGTCAGTTTAGGAGCTATTGTTGACCAGTCACGACACTATTTTGTTTATAGGATAAAGCCATGTCGCAGTTAGTATATTGTTTGCGGCATCACAAACTAACAAGTGAAGAATATGATACAAAAAGAAAGCGATTCAATTCTGATAATGTCCTATAATTTAATATAAACTTAAAACATAAATTTTAATACAACAATATTTTAAATTTAAAAAAATATTTTTAACTTCAGTTTTATCGTACTGCAAAAGATATTAGCAAGGTCTAATATTAATTTCTTTGTAAAGCACCATAAATTTGGAAAACGTGTATTATCTATGTGTAATTCTGTATGAATTTTGTATGCTGAAGAAATTGGTCTATGATTAATTACATTTGATGTATCCTTTACAAATATAAGTACAGAAAGTAGGTACGTATATGGAAATGACAAATTGTTACATTTACAGTAAGATCTCTAATTACAAGGATAGTGTTTACATTTTCCTGTTCACACAAAAACGTATGCTGTCTACTTATTGTGTAGATAATTAAAATTACCAACTGTAGCTACAGTAACAGCCGCAAGTACGTCTTTACTCCTCTCACAAGTAGTCAAATTAAAATTTGGTAACATATTGATTCTCTAATTCAAAATTCAATTACAAATTCAGTAAATAAAATATTTAGATTTTTACAAAAAGAAAAAAAAAATGCTTATTAAGAGAATTTAAAGTTTAATAGAGTGATCTTAGTTTTTGTCGTGATAAATATAATAGATTCTGGAGGATCAGAGTAATTAAAAACTTATTATAATTTTAATATCTTACAAAATTGTATAGAAATTGATTAAAAACTTTTTTAAGATTGACACTTTCTTAGTACGTATGAAAGTACGGTTCAGTCTGGCTAGAACACGTTTCTTTACAATCTTATTATCGAAATAGCGTTTCGGTCTACGTGTTTTTATTTTAGAATAGTTACTATTTAACTTTAATAATATTGTTAAACTTATAAACTCATATACTTTAGAGTTGCAATTCGTAATGCAAATTTTTTAAGAATAATTTTTGAGATTCGTCTTTTAAACTTCCTTCATTATTCTGAAACAATTATTAAAAAAGGACCAAATTTGTATATAGCAAAGGAAATGTTGCTGTCTTGTGTCAAATTAAATGTTAATAAACAAAAGGGTATTTAGAACGCAGAAGATTGTACCTTGTTAAGTTATGGGACCTCAACAATAACTTTTTCCGAATACGATCACGGGTATCATCTAGTCGGTAATATTCCATTACTCATATATCACAGATAAAGGAGCTACACATTCTACACAGATGACTCACAAAACAACCCGAATTTTACAGTTCTGACATAATAACTCTAACAAATCAAAACGCTACATATAAAAATTAATTTATTGCCATAATAATATTATGAAAGTTGAAAAATGGCCTTTTTTAAATATTTTATATTCTAATGAATGCATCATACGCTAAGTACATACATTGCAATTAAATTCTGTAAGCTTATATAACTTTTTATATTTTAAACGCAATAAAATTTATGACTGGCCTTTGATATGACTCTTTACTCTCCAAACGCTACATATAAGCTGCTATCAATCAGATTGCTATGTAAAACAAGCCATTGGATTTCATGTATCGTTATTGTATACGCTACGCAAATTGGAAAATGTTCTCGGTGTCCAAACGCTATTAATTACTCCAAAATTGATTTCATTGGTTGCCTTTACTGTATTTAGGAACTTTTAACAAATAATATAATCGGTTGAAGAGGAAATCTGATCTGTAATGTCATTGTTAACATATCATACAATGATTTTTATTCATTATTTATACTATTAATGATAATTATCTTTTATTATAATTTAAATAATTGAACGCTTAATAAAAAAAAATCAACATCATAATATTAAGAATGTTAAAAAAGAGTTTAAGAATAATGATAATAATTTTATTCAATTCTGAAAATTCGAGGCTTAAAATCTACAAATGGGAAAAGTACTTTAAAAAAGTATAAATAACCTTTTTGTATACTTCACAGACTCTATATTGTTGCAAGTTACAAGGGAATTCATTACACTGTTATTGATGCAATACGACAATTTATTAGTGCTTGTGATGTATAAAAATTAAACTTTAAAAATAAGCAACACAACTAAAAGTGTTGCATAAATCGATATGGGCAATAATGTTTAAAAAAATATCATGAACTCGAGTCGGGGTCGAGTTGTTATTTTTTTCGCGGCGAATGCGCGACGACAGTGCGCCGGGTGTGCCGGCCCACGTTACGATCTAATAAATCTTGCTCGGCTCGAGGCTACCTACTACCTGCACTTTCTTTTCTCTGTCTCACACGAGCAGCGTGCGGCTATGAATCCACTGATGCTTAAATGCTACCGAAATGAGGGACAATTTTTGTTGCAACAAAAACGTTTATGCTCACAACGCCCTCGTTGAGATATGTTTCTTAACTCATTAACGTGTTAAGTAGATTTGTATCAAGACTTGTGTGTAATATTTGGGTTAATAATATAAATAACAATAACATCTTTTTTTATTATCGTATACATGGATATATCCCTAATATGTTAGTCAGCAATGGTTGTACATGTCTTGTAACAAAGGTATCTCCAACATTTCCTGATTCTCTGTTTCTAGTATATTACATATGTTTTTTACCACGTGTCACTTATTTTACATTGATCTTCCTTTTATCATTTAAACTGCTATTTGTTATTAAACTGACTTCATATTATTTTTGCCTGAAGCATAATCATTTCTGCGTGTTTATATATGAGTGACTATATTTACCCAAATTATAGAATTTTTTGGATAAATGAATTGATATTCGATTCGTCATAAATCTACTAGTAACACTAGGTCCTATAAATGCCTAAGTACACGATGGACTCTATAAAAAAGATGTTCTGATAAATATTAGACTTAATATTTTTAATAATTAACTTTGTCAAGTTGCAAACAAACAGTGAGTTTTCTTTGACCATTTTCTAAGTCACAGTATCTGACTTTCTAAATTTCATTGTAGCTACCATAATTTCTCGAAGCAATAAAATGATAGGTAGTTACCACAATATTCGTTTTATACACTCTCATGTGTTCATTTAGAGTTATTGTTGGCTTTATGGGTCTTGTCCAGTGTTTCCAACGAACAGTGTACATAAACATTTTTTTTTACAAGAAGTAGGTACGGTTACATTAACGCAATAGACTTAGCTAAAGCTATAGAATACCTAAAAGTCTTATGTACTTTGTAAAATGCCGAAATATGTTATAAAAATTTATATAGGTTTAATAACATAACTAACTGGAGGGTGGAAGGGATTGTTAGTAATGGATATTTAACAGCCTCACTCAGATCAGTTCGAACTTCACGTCCCCCCCCCCCCCCTTTACCCGGAAACCATTATAATTAATTCTTGAATTCGTCACGATGGGCCATGCTGCATCGTAACTGACCTGCTTTCATCTCTCACCTATCATCTCTCACTGGTACCTCGCCAGCGTATACCGATAGCGCAGGTGGGGATACCATTCTTTTTCACCCCTTAAAAAAATAATTAACTACTTAATCATTTTTACTGATTGTTATAATAATGTCGCCATAATAATGATTTTTTATTAAGTTACAAAGGAATATAACATATTAAAAGATTCGCCTAAGTTCGTACATACAGTAAGAAAATTTACAGAAGTAATTATTGATTTATTATTATGTAACCTAGTTAATAACCACAGCTGGTTGCTGGCGTAGTGAACGTAACGAAGTAGGTACATCATGACGTCACTACGCTTCGTTCAGTTTCATCACTGCGTCAAATATTTCGTATTATTTCCGCCGCCATAGTAATTAAACTTGTAGTATATTATGTAGGGATTATTATATAATTGACTAAAAGTAAACAACGTTCTATGCCAGTTTATTTCCTGTGGGAATTTTCATAGATCCTTTACTATCGGACGACTATGTCATACGAAGTCCTTCTGTGTAATATAACTTAAGTGTGAAATTGCATTATTAAATTTTTCTAATTTACAAAACGATAATTTTTTTGACGTTCAGAATTGGTGAAATCTATTATTTAATTATTTTAATTTAAAAAATATTGATAAAAATAACAT